GTGTATTATTGTATTTTCTTAATATATTTTACATTTTAACCGAAACTAGAATTAGTGCAGCTCATCTGTGTAAATATAATCAGCGTAAACGTGAAAATTTAAATATAATCAGAAAACATCGAATTATCCTTTTTCTATTTTATCGTCAACTTGGATGTTTTATGCAGATTTTACCGTGTAGTGCTAATGGTGAAATTATTTTGCACTTGTGGAAATTTAATTCTAATAATAATCATATTGTTGTAATCTGAATATTAATAAAACAGCAATGAGGGATATTGTACCGTATATTCTCACGTCGTATATATAAGGCGAACCGCACATAAGACAAATCCTCGATCAAGTTTGAGAAGATTTTTGGACGATTTTTGTATGTCAGGCGTATAAGACAACGTTCCTGTTTCACTGTCGGAATTCATACTTTTGCTGCTAGTTACGGTCTTCATACTGCATCTAGGTGGCTAAAAATGGAGCCACATGTAGGGTTAATCTTCAAAATAATACCATTTTATGTGCTTTTAAACGTTCATCAAAATCTTATTTCCCACACTTAAAATTCAGTTCATTAATACTAACAAGTTAGTAGCTTCACTTCAGTAGTAAATTTGCTTGTTACACACGATAAGACGACGACCTGCTTTTTGATCGTGATTTGATATTTTAAGCCTCGTCTATATCCTCACGAGAATATACGGTATGCTGTTTTAAGTTATCATATGGATAATAAAGAAAGTTAACACCTGCTGAGTCTACCATTTATACTAATTAATTACCTTAATGTCAGTGATGGCACAATCTGCATACTTAAACAGGTGATTACAGGAGTACTGAGATTGAGAGATGGTCATTTGTGTAAATTAACATTTGGGGGGGGGGTGGGGGCTGCATGAATTTACAATCTAACTGAATATAAAGCATTTTGACATATTCTTTTAATTAATTCATCACACTGTTTGTGAATTTATTCATAACAAACTATAATGTGTTGTTCCCCAAATATTGATACAATTTATGGCAGGGAAGCCACAACTAACACTGCATCAATTAAGCCAAATCTCCTTTGAGTACAAGGCCTCTACTTTATAGGATACTAAACACTAATATAAAAGTTCACACATACATCTTCTAAGCTTAAGCAGACATTGGGTCACTAATATTCATTATCAGGGGTTTATAAAAAATATTCAGGCACAAGGCCCAAGTATATGCCAAACAGCAAACACTTTTTGTAGTGACAATACCCTCACAAGATATACATTTACTCTACATATCGAGTGGAGTTTGCTAAAATGTTAAAAATGAGTCTTTTTCATTCATTTCATAGATCAAATAGTACAAACGACATGGAAAATTAAAAAATGATTGCAAACTATTCTGGCAGACTGTCAAAAAGCAAAATAAATTCACTGTAAAAAGACAACCAACAAAATTGTAAAAGGTATTTCAATCTTACATATTAATTAAATCAATTAAAAGTTTAATCCTGCATAGGCTTTGCTCCAAGTAACATGAATATTGAATCTACTAGGACCACTTCAATTTCATCGGTTGACGATTTATCATCAACTTCTGCAACCATTCTGAAAAAAAAATTTAAATTAGTATTTTGTTTAGTATCTCTCGCACGGCTGTCCAATGGTAACTGGTATATTATTTTTGTGCAGTTATGTTGTTTTACCTTGGAACGACCGTGTAGGATACACACACCTTACAGCTGTCAGGGGTCCCAAGTCTCTGCAGTTTGTGGAAACTGGGAAGGCCTCCTGCACTCCCGCAGACAAGCCTCTCGTGAAAAATAACTCATCTCTTGCAAATTCATAATATTTGCATGATTTTAATACTTTATTATTATCAATTTTCTTATAGAAATTAGTACTGATTGGTATCACAATGCACAGCAAAATAACAGTAAATGTGTTACGAAAGCGAATTTAACCAGATCTTGCAGGAGTGACTTTTTCCAACTTGGGACCCCTGAAATGTACAGCCTTTCAAGTCTAACCCTCACGTGCAGGGGAAAGCAGACTCAAACGATGATGATAATGGCCTAGTTCTCAGGAGAGCCCTAGTATCCGAATCGGGAGCTAACCGTTAGCGTTAACTGTTAGCACCTGTGTGAGAACTCCCTATCGGTTAGCGCTAACCGTTAGCGGTATCCGGATACGCTAACGGTTAGCAATCGCTATTGTTTAGCAAGTTGAGGGCGTTTCTATCATAAACCAATCACACGTACGCGTTTACAATTTCCAGTTTTTAATTGGCCAGTGATTCGTTCATCATATTGTTGGTATCCGGATCGGGATTTTCTCGCATGGACGCACGGCAGCTAACGGTTAGCAGGATCCGGATCCGTTAGCTGCCGTGTGAGAACATAGCCAATGATGACATAAAGATATGGGGACAGTATTTTCAAATGAGTCAATTACTGAATAAGATCTAGGAGAGGGTCTAATTTACCTTCAGTCGCCTTCATTAAATTTTGGTAAGGAGACCAAGATGTAAACGTATTAAAAAACCAGGTTAAATTTACTTCTCGCTTTCTTGTGAATGAATAATCTCTTTAAAAATATAATATGAAAAAACACTCTAGAATTTAACTAATTAATTTAAGTCAAACTTACTTTGCTCCAAGTTCCACGAGAGGGTCAGATTTACCTTCAGTCGCCTTCATTAAATTTTGGTAAGGAGACCAAGATGTAAGCCAATTAATAAACCAGGTTAAATTTACTTCTCGCTTTCTTGTTAACGAATCATCTCTTTAAAAATATAATATAAAAAACCCAGAATTTAACTAAAATCCAGTTTAATAATACCTTTTATAATCTATGTTCTTTTCTTCATGTTATACTGTAAATTTCTGGAATACATTATATCCTCAATATCTATAGTCTATAACAGATTTTCTTTACCGAAAAAGATTATAAATATTAATATCATAACTTGTACAGTCAAGTTGTGACCGTCGAGAGCCTTGCTGGGTACAAAGTTCAAGTTGGACTATTAGCAGAAAGAACTTATCAGAGATAAGAAATTACTGTACTCTGATAAAAAAATTCCCCTCACATGACAAAAACAGACACATGATACTCTACAGAAAACTAAGTCTCATAACAAGGCTTATGGAGTGGAGTTGTTTTGTGAGAAAAAAAAATTCTGGAGTCTGACAGGATTTTAACCCCTGACCCATGGATTGGAAGGCAAGCATCTCCACTCTTTGTGATCTATTAATTTATGAGGGTCCCATAATATCCGCTGACACTCTGGGATAATCTGCAAGAATACGGTTAAAAAAAATCCCTTCTGTGCTTGAACGAAAGACTCTCAGAACAGCTGCCACACTAATCCTTCTATGGAATATTCAGAGAGTTAGGTTTTCAACAGACGAAACGTTACCTTTCATTTATGGCGAGATGTGTATAAGAGACAGGTATTTCAATCTTACATATTAATTAAATCAATTAAAAGTTTAATCCTGCATAGGCTTTGCTCCAAGTAACATGAATATTGAATCTACTAGGACCACTTCAATTTCATCGGTTGACGATTTATCATCAACTTCTGCAAC